ACTCTTCCTCTACCCTCTTGTTTAAGCTATGCCCCCCACCTGGAATGCACTCTCCACCAAACCCAACTTCATCTATCATCCAGCACCCACAACCTCCACCAGCCAGCCCCAAATACTCTAGCACATAGCTCCTAATGCATCAACAGTATCAGACAGCTGGCACTTAATTGTTGTTGTTGTTGTTATTTGCCATCGAGTCGGCCCCGACTCATAGCGACCCCTCCTTGGGTTTCCGAGGCAATATCACTACGGAAGTAGGAATGCCCAACCTTCCTTCCGAGGAGTGGCTGGTGGGTTTGAACCGCCAGCCTTCTGGTTAGCAGTCAAGTGCCTTAGGCACTATGCTACCAGAGCTCCTGGCACTTAATTAGATGATGTCTAACATTCACTATTTCATGCTGTCCATCTGTCTCTCTAACTAGATTAAAGATATCTTGAGGGTAATGATTAGCTCTTATTTTATATGTCTACCTCACAGCCTACCAGGGTGCCGTATATAATATACCTTACAGAGAGCAAGACCAGCAAAAACAGAATCCTGGAGCATCGCAGCTGAAGGAATCCCAAGGATTCTATTGTTCTCCCTACTATGCCCATTTTGCAGAGAAGCAAATTAAGAGACAAAGAGGCTTGACCTTCCCAAGATCATATAGTGAGAAAAGGATAGGAATAAACTCAGCATTATGGTTCCCTTAAGCACTTAGCTCTCAAACTGCCAAATAGCAACTCAGAATCAAGGTTCACTGGAAAAGACAGACAGACAGCGGGTCCACAGTGATCCATCTGCTTGTGAGCAAAATTTCCAGCATGAAGCCAGGCCATGCCGCATAAGGCTTGGCAAACAGCTTCTATGGGAATCAAAGCCAGGCTTTGTATGTACCAGGGGTGTGAAAGGGCCTTGGTAGGCTGCCTGGGGTGCTTTCAGTCTCCCTGACACCACGGGGTCACTGCTATCCACAATATCTGGACACACCAAAGGTCTCAGAAAGAAGGATAAGTCGAGAGGTGAAGTGGGCATGTCACTCTGAGGAAAGAGGCATCTAATGAGGGCTGCCTTTGCAATGAACTACACACCTCAAGAGCAGGAAAACAACCCAAGTATTTGCCCCATACTCATAACAAAATACTCACAATAATGTCAAAGCTGATAGAAACCAAAACAATAACAGAAACATGAATAACAACAACTTTATAACTTTATAAAGAAAAACTAGTGGCAAGAGCCATCAGTCTAGCAGAGTCTTTCTTGGTCACTCACTAGCCAGAGAACCAACCATTTATTAATTCTCACCATGACTCTATGAGACTGACACAATGAGCTCATATCACACACATGGAAACTGAGGCTCAGTGAGGTCAAGGATCTTGCTCCAAATCACACCACTGCTGCCAAGTGGCAGAACTGGAATTGGAATCCAGGTTGGTCTCACTCCACTCCACATGGTCTCTCATTCCAGCCTTGTTTCAAGTTTTTTGCCCCATTACCAGACCTGTGCTACAAGGTTAGGAGTCCGGTGTGGAGCAAACAGTTAAGCACTCAACTACTAACCAAGAAGTCAGTGGTTTGGAGTCACTTAGAGGTGTCTCGGAAAGAGCCCCGGAGATCTGTTTCTGAAAGGTCACAACTTTGAAAACTCTGTGGAGCAGAGTTCTATGCTCTGACACAGATGGGGTGGCTAGAAGTTGAAATCAATTTAACAACTGATTTGGTCTGGTTTGAGGGAAAAGGATGACTGCTCACCCTTCATCTTGCAGAGGAATAGAGAGAGACAAGGGACTGACACGAGGTACACTCAGATCTCCTTGGCTTTTCCTTAGAGCCAAACAGAAGGAGTCACTTTTAAAAGAACACAGTGTTTTTCCTTCTCTTCTCACCTCCCTTGGGCCACAGTGCCTGTGATAATTGGGAAGTACAGAATCTGGTTTTTCTGGATTGGAATCAATGCTATGAAGAATGTTCTGACAATAAATGCTGTTGATTGACAGTTGATGGACAATGTTCTTGAATAAATTTTTCCTGTGCTGGGTATTAAGCTGAGGACTGCACTAAACAACTGCTCAACAGCTTGCTTCCTGTTCAGACAGAATTTACTAGGCTTTCCCTCTGCAGGCCTCAGTCAAGAGGCTGAGTGAGATGCTATCTCAGATCCTCTCCAGTTCTATCATTCAATGACTCTATCAAGAAGAGAACACAGATCTGAGAATTTTTTTTCTCCCAAAACAGTGGGTTGGGGTTATTATTCACACACAGAAACACAGGTTCCAACAAGAGATAAGAGGTCTGGAAATAAGGAGCTTTGATTCTGGTTTCATACTCTTTGACCTAGTAATTCCATTTCTGTGAATTTATCTTAAAGAAAGAATTCAAAAGAACAGAGCTATGCACATAAAGATATTTTCTTTACCATTATTTGAAGACAACGTCCAATAAAATAATGTCCAACACAGGACTGGAACGTATTCACTTGGTGGCATAGATAACTATTACAAATAATAATTTCAAAGATGTGAGAAAATGTTTATGACAGTGTTTTTCAATTTGCAGTTCAGCTCTGGTAGCATAGTGGCTAAGGCACTTGACTGCTAACCAGACGGCTGGTGGTTCAAACCCACCAGCCACTCCTCGGAAGGAAGGTTGGGCAATCCTACTTCTGTAGTGATACTGACTCGGAAACCCAAGGAGGGGTCACTATGAGTCAGGTTTGACTCGACGGCACATAACAACAACAACAACATCCATTAATAAAAGGAGCTCTTGTGGTGTAGTGGATAAGGCACTTGGCAGCTAACACAGAAGTCTATCAGTTCAAACCCACTAGCTGCTCCACCGAAGGAAGATAGGGTGGTCTACTTCCATAAAGATTCACAGCCTCAGAAGCCCAGTAGGGGTCTGTGAATCTGAATTGACTCAATAGCACTGAGTTTTGAATTTTTATTCCTAACGAAAGGAACTCTGGTGGTGTAGTGGCTAAGGCATTTACTGTTAGCTGAAAGGTTGGTGGTTCAAACCCACCACCTGCTCCATCAAGGAAAGATGAGGCAATCTGCTTCTGTAAAGATTTATAGCCTTGGAAACCCAATTGGGGTCACTATGAATCAGAATTTACTAACAGCAGTTGAGTTTTTGGTTTGGTATCCACTAATGAAAGAGTAGTTAAGGTCTTGACTGCTAACCAAAAGGTTGGTGGTTCAAACCCACCAGTCAACTGCTCCAAGAAAGATATGGCAGTCGGCTTCTATAAATATTACAGCCTTGGAAACCCTATAGGGCAGTTCTATCCTGTTACATGGGACATAGGGTCACTATTAATAGAGTCAGAACTGACTCGACAACAATGGGTTTATCCACTAATGGGTCATGAAATGAACTTAATAGGTCTCCTGCCAACAGCTTTTTTTTTTTTTTTTTTTTAAATAAAATAGAGTAGAACAGAAAATATCAGAGGCCATTACAGGAGGTAAGGGATTTATCATGAAATTTTGGTTAAATGGTTAAATGGGCCATGATGTAAAATACTTTGTATTGCAGGGTCATAGTCAAAACATTTTGAAGGCCACGGGCCTACAGTATACTGTGCGGGATTACAACAGTATAAAGTATCATATGTGAGACTAACCCTGAAAGGGAATACCCAGAGGCTATGTTGAGTATGGTAGCATGAAGGATGCAGCTTTCATTTATAAGTTTTCATTGATATCTGCAGGTTATTTTTACATTGACACAAGAAAAATGAGTAAAAACATAAGACAAAAAGGAGGAAAAACAAAAGATGGCCATTATCAGATCCCAAGGGGATCCTAAGGAACAAGGCTCTATGTTGGCCCTTAAAAGATGAACAGAATTTAAATGGGTGGTTGTTGTTATTAGGTGGTGTTGAGTTGGTTCTGCCTCATAGCATCTCTATGTACAACAGAACAAAACACTGCCCAGTCCTGCACCATGCTCACAATCGTTGTCATGTTTGAGCCCATTGTTGCAGCCACTGTGTCAATCCATACCATTGAGGGTCTTCCTCTTTTCTGCTGACTCTCTACTTTACCAAGCATGCTATCTAGTGTGGGATTACCCAATAAACAAGGTAAGCATAGACTTATTTGTGCTTATTTACTAATCTGTAGTGAACCATCTGACGTTTTTTCACTTCAAAGATTAGGCTTCTATGCGTGGCTGACATCTGTCTCTCTCCCAATCCCGTAACACTGTTTTACTGAATCAAAGCCTTTTTTAAAATTGTACAATCCCTGAAAGAGACGGATTACCCAGTAAACAGGGAAGCACAGGTTTACTTAGTAATCTGTAGTGAATACTTCTACGTGTTTTTGTGGTGAAATCCACAAGAAATTTTTCACTATAAGTAAGCACAAGTAAGCCCATGCTTACCTTGAATATTGACTGCTAACCAGAAGGCCGGCGGTTCAAACCCACCAGCCACTCCTCGGAAGGAAGGTTGGGCAACCTACTTCCGTAGTGATACTGCCTCGGAAACCCAAGGAGGGGGTCGCTATGAGTCAAGTCCGACTCGAGGGCACATAACAACAACAACAACAACCCCTGATGATGTCTTTCTCCAGAGACTGGACCCTCCTGATAACATGGCCAGTTGTTATGTGCCGGGGAGTTGGACTGACTCATAGCGACCCCTCTTGGGTTTCCGAGGAGATATCACTACGGAAGTAGATTGCCCCATCTTCCTTCTGAGGAGTGGCTGGTGGGTTTGAACCGCCAGCCTTCTGGTTAGCAGTCAAGTGCCTTAGCCACTATGCTACCAGAGCTCCCTCAGGCTTGTAAAGTGATCCTCAACTGGGAAGGAAAGCTCCACCTCTGGGCTGGCCTTTGTTCCTCCGGGTCCAACCTACTAATCCTCCCCCACCCCTATGGCAAACTAGAAGTTGACCCTCACAAACATGGCAGCTCCAAGCTGTTCGCCCCTCAAAAATATGGCGGCAGAGCGCCCCGGTGGCCAATGAGGGAGAAGTACGAGGATAAGCCCATGCGTGGTGCGACGTAGTGGGCGCGTCCAGTAATGACTGAGGGATTCCGGCAAGTAACATGACTAAAAAGAAGCGGGAGAATCTGGGCGTTGCTTTAGAGGTGAGAAGGGAAGCGCTGGTTGAGCCAGATCTTCAGTCGTCTTCAACTTTCTGGGTAGGGATAGTGGGTCGGTTAGCCAGAGGTTGGAGGAGAGGCAAAAGAGAGGAAGTGAGAGCGACGCGAGGTTGGGAGGGCAAGCAAGGGAGCAAGGGGTAAGAGAGCCCTAGCAGGGTATCCGGAAGTGAACCGAGGCATCGGAGGTGAGGGGACCTCCAGAGGGGAAGAGACTTGGAGGTGCAGGGGAACCCCAAAGGGGGAGGGACAGAGAGCTGATGGAGACACAGAGGTCGTGGAGTTCCGTGGAAGACACGGAAATAAGGAGAAAATAGGGACAGGTAAAAAGGTCTCGGGTGAGGGGATCCCTCACGGGTAGGGACCCAAAGGTAAGGGAACCCGTGCTATTTAGTATCTTCCTAATTGACGGTTCCAACCTAGCCAGAGACGCCTGAAGACAGGCCTGGCGATCTGCTTCTGGAAGGTCACAGCTTTGAAAACCCTACGGAGTAGTTCTACTCTGCACACATGGGGTCGCTGTGATTTGGGATAATCTTGTAAGTAACTAGTAACAGTGCCTTAAATATCGCCTGAGATGGGAAGTTTTTCCTATAGGGGTACCGAAGCATGTAACTTGGAAATTACTTTGGGAACCTTTTGGGATTTGTAAAGAATTCTGGAATGGTGATATTACCAAAGGGCTTAAAAGAAAACTGATCCATATTGAGCAGCTACTTTCATTTGAATTCTCAGTTAACCCTTACTACAAGCCTGTGAGCTAGAGAGAGAGAATTCTCGTTTTTCACAGATGAGGAAACAGGTCCCAGGGGAGCCCAGGATGCAGTGGGGCTGGAAGAGCTGAGAGTCAAGCGCAGACAATAAGCCTGGCAGTGCATCTTTTCTCCACCATGTTACAGTTCCCTTAGACCACCTCCAGGAGGTTGCAAGAGGTGATTAGGTACCATGTAGTTGGTTCTGACTCATACCCACGCTATGGACAACAGAATGAAACACTGCTGGGTCCTGCACCATCCTCACAATCATTGCTATGTTTGAACCCACTGTTGCAGCCACTATATCAGTCCATGTCATTGATAGTCTTCCTTTTTTTCATTGACCCTCTACTTTACTAAGCAAGATGGCCTTCTCCAGGGACTGGTCCCTCCTGATAACATGTCAAAAGTACATGAGACAGAGTCTCCCCATCCTCACTTCTAAAGAGCATTCTGGCTATACTTCTTACAAGACACATTTGTTCATACTTTTGGCAATCCATGGTATATTTCATATTCTTTACCTGCATCATCATTCTAGGCATCAATTCTATGTTGGTCTTCCTTATGCATTGTCCAGCTTTTACATGCATGTTAGATGATTGAAAATACCATGGCTTGGGTCAGGTGCACCTTAGTTCTCAAGGTGACATCTTTGCTTTTTAACCCTTTACAGAGGTCTTTTGCAGCAGATTTGCCCAATGCAATATGTCATTTGATTTTCTTGACTGCTGCTTCCATGGGTGTTGATTGTGGATCCAAGTAAAATGAAATCCTTGACAACTTCAGGAGGTACAGTGTATTAAAAGTCATACTGCTCTCTTCTTGGAAGGAGTCCTAGGAGTATAGCGGTTAAGTTCTCAGCTGCTAAGCAAAGATTTGCATGTTTGAACTCACCCAGTGGCTCTATGGGAGAAAGACCTGGAGATCTGCTTCCATAAGAGATTATAGTCAAGAAAACCCTATGGGATGATTCTACTCTGTTACATGGGATCTAGAAGTGTGCACTTGCCATTGGTAAGAGCTAACACTTGTGGCCTCACCTAACTACAAGGGGGGCTGGGAATTGCATTCATTAGCTAGGAGGCAATGTACCAAGCTGTAGCTCAATTACTGTGGACGAAGAAGCTAGCATGATTTAGGGGACAACCAGCAGTTGCCACCACAGTTCCAAACCTACCTTACAGTGTGGTTGTGAGGATTAAATGAGTACATGTAAAGTGCATAGCACATACCCAGCACAGAGTGGGTAATCAATAGATGGTAGTTCTTTTTTTTATTAGTAGCAGTTGCTATGGTAACCCCTGTGTGTCAGACAGAACTGTGCTCCACAGGGATTTCAATGGCTGATTGTTAGGAAGAAGATGCCAGGCCTTCCTTCCAAGACATCTCTGGGTGGATGCGGATCTCCAACATTTCAATTAGCAGTGAAATGCTTTACTGTTTGCACTACCCAGGGATTTCTTTTCTTCTTTTTTTTTAATTTTATTTTTTTATTGTGATTTGGGTGAAAATTTACAGCGCAAATATACTTTCCATACAGCAGTTCACATACACTTTGTCTCATGACATTGACCACAATTTAGCACAATGAAACATCTCCCCTCCCACTTCCTCCC